TATATATATATTTTCCTTTTTTTGAAGAAGTAGTCTGCTTTTTTTAGTAAGAGGCACAGAAAAGTTATGGGAATAAAGAAGATTCATGTGCGATGGACAGAAAGCTACAAGGTTTAGATCATAAAAAACTCCACAGGTATTTAAAGCATCTACAGTACACGGTAATATTCTTGTCTGCCATCAATCAGTTTTTTTTTACTAGAGTTTAATTTGGTTCATACTGTCAGCAAAACTGACCCAAATCCAAATTTTTTGCCCATTTGTGACCCATATCCTATTTTTATGACTGAAAGTAACAAATCAGATTTTTTTATCTGTTGTTTTTCAAAGTGACTGCGATCTGAACACTCATTTTGCATTTTCTCCGACTTTTATGTAATTGAGGTAGAGCTTTACTGACAAATCAAAATAATGATATCATCAATACCAACGTCGTACGGGTTAAAACTTGGAAATCAGCACGCCTTCAGCTACAGAATAGAAGTGCAATTGCTTCCTCTTATCAACTTCCCATATCTGTCACATCCTGGATGACGGAGAATTTACAGGAACAAACATGTAATGCTAATGGTGGTATATCAACACAGTGGATCGATACTAGCATGACCAGATTGATGCTTGTTTGTGTTTCTGCTTTCAGTAGATGTGCATATCTGCACCTGAGTAGGCAGGAAGCAGCAAGACAAAGTGTAAAGCCTGGATGAAACAAGCACAGCAGACAATTCTTAAATTGTCTTTAATTGCACAACTTCTGTAGCGTCTGTATTTACTTCTGTAAACACAGCGTGCTGCGTGTGATGTCATGCCACTTCAGGGCTGTGGACCATTCACACTGAAGTCTGATGACAAATTTAAATTAAAATGTGGACAACAATGCAGAAAAAACAGATCTAAGCAAGAAATTTGAATCGAACATTAACATCTGATGCCAAGAATTTCCAAGAAAAATAGGTATGTTCTAATAAGGTTCCAATACGGTGTGTTAAAGTTTGGTTTTTTTTGCCTTTTCATTTGGATATATTCAAAACTTGCTGCAAATAAATTAATGTCTGGATTTTTTTGAAACTTTTTCTCAAGAAGTAATAGAGTTATGTGAATATTGTGCACAGTCATATTTCATCTTTAGAATGAAATACAGAAGAATGAGTCAAGTGGTCACAAAACTGATGCGTCTGATTTTTCTGAGGAACAGAAACGAAAACAAGAAACAATTGTAATGAGATGGTTTCAGATTACCATCACAAACAAATAAATAAATAAATAAATAAATAAATAAATAAATAAATAAATAAATAAATAAATAAATAAATAAAATAAAAGGTTGTACTTCATGTCATAACTTCTCCAAAATGTTCTATAAAATGAATAATCTTTACTTTCAGGTTCTTGATCGTCTGGGTCCAGTCCATCTGACTGATCTGTGGGATTGCAGTTAGCAAGATGCTGCTCGCTTTGTTGGCGTTCTCTTTCATTGTTTTCAGTACGTTATCCACACAGACCTAAAAGACAAAAAGGAGACCGGATTAAAGCAATTTTCACTTAAAAGCATTCTGTATTTCAAACAGAATGATGGTTTATTTTGTCTTTTGCTTAAAGAGCTCTGAAAGAGACCTCCGTTATAGGTTGTGCCATCAACCTTTTTTATACTTCTTTCTGTAATTTTTAAAACGTGGCACACGAAGTAAAGTCATGCTAGTAGTTACTGGTTTCTTAAAGGCATAGTTGCTTAAATAAATGACCATGTCTGGTAAAAAATAGTGTGGTTTCTTTTGTAAAGATCTCTTTACAATGTCTTTAAATGGGATTGAAATCAATGATAACACTAAAACTTGAAGGAAAATAAAGCTATTTCACTTTTATCAGCTTTAGTACCAGCTGATTGCAGACTTCTTACTTTGTTAAGAATGAAAAAAAAAGTGGCTTACAGTTTCCTTTATGGTGCTGCTTTGTTTAATATGGAGTATTAAGGCCAGACTACAAGATGTTTTTATTATAAGAATGGTCATAATGTCATAATATTACGAGATCAAAGTCATACAGGAATAAAGTCAAAATATTTCGTGAGAACTGAAGGAGATGACACACTGGTGAACTGTCTCCAGGTCCTGATGTTACTGGAACAACAGCAACTTCCCAGTTCCAGACTCTAATGTGCTGTGAGTCAAACAGGCTTTTCCACCTATCAGACTGGTCTAACCTTACCACACTGTATGGAGCCTCCCCTAAGATATGTTAATCATGCAGCCAGGCCCATCAGGACTTCCGTGGCTGCTGTGGGTGTTATTCTGATGGAACTGATGCTCATGCTGCGTTCCATTTACATTGTGTTCTGGGAACTAATAAATGGCAGTGACATCATTTCCCAACAAACCATATGAAACTGCATTGCAGTTAGCCAACACTCGAGTGTATTGTTGCCACTAACCTAGCTACAACACTGCTACAATCTAAACAATGACAAAAAGAGAGCTCTGCTACGTACGCCATGCAAATAAACAATGGTTTTAATACGTACAGTATTGCACAGAAAACACACTATTTATGTGAGTGATTAAACATGCACAAAAAATTATGAAAGATAATTAATAGTAAAAGTTACGGAGTTAACTTTCTGAAGCTGCGCGTAGCCGCCATCTTGAAATCGAAACTGGGGGAAGTTTCATTTCTTCCACTATACCAGTGGAATATTACCACTGGAGGAGGCGTTCCAGTTTAAATCTACCAATGGGAACAGAGAATTTACCACTTCCCAGGACTACTGGAACGCAGCATCAGGCAGGCCATTCATTGCACATGGGTGAGCATCACTCTTGGACTCAAACCCACCATAATAAAGCAGCATAGGGGCGGGCTATAGATCCACCTGATAATCTTTGAGGAAGCACCCCAACCACTACCTGCAATTCTCCGGCAATGGTTTAGGCACATTGCTGCCTTCTTACACTTTTCATTTGCATGTCTTTTCCAGATAAGCTTCCTGTCTAGATAGGCATCCAGACATTTAAATGACTGACAGGGAGAGTTCTACACCCTCCAACTTTGGAGCTGAGTAACCCTTCCTTGACTTCTTTTGAGTGAAAAGAACCAATTCTGTCTTGTTTGGGTTGACAGAAAGTTCCTGCTGGCAGCACCATCTGGATACTATGCTTGGTCCCCTCTGATTTATGTTACATACAGTACCAGGCAGAAGCTTTCTAACAAACACAGAGCTGAGATTACTCCACCCTGTGGACAGTCCTCTCTGAGGTTAAAGGTTATCCAACAATCCTACCAGAGTTAAAGATGCTTTCCTTGTCCGAAGCATGAAAACGAGCCTATTTGTAGTCATCTCATCCGTGCATGTGCTGGCAAGTGCTCTCTCTACAGCTTTCACAGGTACATTGTTAAATGCCCCCTGTATGTCACAAAACAAAACAATGTTGTTTCTGTAGAACAACCTGCCTGATATGCACACTGTTTGGTATTTTAATCTTATCATCTTTAAGTCCTAAACATGTCCATCTATTAACCTTTCCATTCCCTTTAGCAAGAAAGATGTTAAGATGATGGATCTGAAAGATTTTGCTTCTCTCTATGTTGGCTTGCCAGGTTTGAACAGAAAGACAACCTTTGCTCTTGTAAAATAAAAAAAATATCTCGTTGTGTGGCCCTAATACTCGACCGTAGTTTAAGCATGTAGAAAAATAAATGTGTTGTTATTATTACAAAACACAGAACTACTCAAATTAGGTGCCACAACTCTTAAGATGATTAAAAATCTATAAAAATAAAATTCAATGTATAAAAAATGTCTTTCTTATAATGGAAATAAACATATTAGAAATCATTGGTTTTTAATGCCTTTCTCTGAGCTGGAACCATGTGTATGAATATTACTGAAATGTTAATTATTATTTTTTCCTGTGTGAACTTTCTTTGCACTTTTTTTGAAGAACCAACTGTGTCAACATTATGCTCTTGGTGTAAAGCATCAAAATATAATGCTTTTCAGCACCTTTTTATGTCTAAAATATAGTTGTCTAATCTCTGGGCTGATTAAACAATCAGTTTTATTTTATCCAGTATGGGCGTGACTATAATTGTGACTGCTAGTGTTTGGGAACTGGATAAAAGAATATATGATGAGCACATGAACGCAATAAGCGCACATGCAGATGAATTGCTCTCAAGGTTTTGCAGCAGTCAGCACAGTGTGCAGCTGAAAAGTGACGACTCATCTCGAGGTTAATCGGGTCACAAATTTTACGAGGAAGCTAAGTAAACACTGCGAGGTTGGCAACAACCCATCCAGAAACAAATGTGAACAGCAGTATATTGTTTTACACACAACCAGCCACATCATGAATCATTAAGGGAACCAGTTCTATCATCGTGTTTCTTGAATCGCACCACAACAAACCAGCTCGTCTATAATCTGTTCTTACAGCCACACTTTCAGAGCGGAAATAAATCTAAACTATTTGTATATTTGCACATATAAATAAGGAGATTATATTGAAGAGTACAGTAGAGGAGTTTAAATCATCATGTCTGTCTTGTGTTTATGCCTACCTTCTATGACCTCCCTTTTTTATGCCTCCCTAGTGAATACTTGTGAGTTGTTGTGCCATTTGTCAGAATGAAGACAGTGGAGCTGATGACTCAGTGTGACTCAACCTCCTCTGGAAGGATTTGCACCGGAGGCTGGAAGGCTAAAGACGGGCGGTGGGGGGGAGATAGGGACAGGCTAGGAAGTAGTACGAGGCTGGGTGGGAGTGAATAGGAGAGGGAGGGAGGGCGGCGGAAGGATGTGGCGAGCTGTGTGTAACAGGAGGGGGAAGAGGTCAGCTGCAGGAACTCGGAAGTGGAGTTGTGAGTGAAGCTGGATCAGTGACAGACGAGCCAAAATTCACCCACACACAACTGCATCAACTGCAGCACTCAGAGTTTCTGTCAGAAGATAGTTCAGTGAGCAGCCACAAGAAGCCACAGATCCTCTTTGTCTGATTTATGGAGCACCGAGGAGAAAACTTGAGGATACACGATGAAAAAAAAATGAAAAAATAAACGTGAAACTATATGAGACTTTGATACAAACATATAGACGTGACAACCAAGTCTGTCATTATTGCTTTTGCGTGTTGTGAAATACTATAAAACTTTACAGTCAGAGCTATCACAGTCCATGTGACTATAATTGTAAAATAATAGTTTTATTGCGCAGCTGAGCAGAGTGTACTTGAATGACAGTGAATTGTGTTATCAGTTAGTTTCGGTTTTTCACAGTAAGTAGTTACAGTATCTGTCTGACCTTTAATATCTTAAATATATATTTTATAATCACTTATGTAAAGAGATCTGATGAAAGACAACTGCATGCAGCTTGCCCTCTTATTGGTTGTGAATTTCTTTTTTAATATGTTTCTGGAAATGTGCCGAGTGGAGGTGGTTTCCACTTTACAGACTTATAAAGCTTTCTCTAATTTTACCTGGATTTTAATTATTACCTCTTGACAATGTGTTTTTTGTATATAATATTTTTATACAGTGATCATATTATTATATATAGGGGTGCACGATAGTTATCGGCCCGATATCAGGGAATTATGACGTCATACTTATTGGTCCGATATCATAACAAACAGAACTGATAATATATGTACGTTTGCCAGCGCAGCGATGAGAATGCGTGTTTATTTTTATCCGTTTTGGTCAAGCTGCTTTTCGTCCGACACGACCCGAGCAACGTTCAAGTGGCGTCGGAATAAACAACTTTCTCACTATAAAAATAATTAGAATACTCCGTGCTGAAAAACAACCAGTCATTTTAGGAGTTAATATTATTTTACCAATTAACCATGTATGTTACACACAAACTTTATAATTATAAACATAAAAAAGTCGGAACAAATACCGGTACTCCCAGTTTGAGAACATGTAATGTCCGTTATCTCCTGAATGCAGCACAAAGTCCGTCGGCTAAAATGCTAACAACAACAACAAGCTAGCGTTCAAAAACTCATCGAGACGTAAATCATTGCTGAGGCTTTGGACAAATCCAAAATAACTGCCAGAGAGGACGCAGATCTCAAGCAATTTAATGACGGAAACAATGGAGCGACTTTTTCTCTTTTGTTTACATCTGAGATCAGTGTTAAAGGTCTTTTTTATAATTAATGTGCCTTATTTAAAAAGATGGCCATTTGATTTGATTTATTGATTTAACAGGAAAAGATTACTAAAAATCAAGCCTGACTCAGCATAATTGCTGTTTTACAGCAGGTTCCTGTTCTGCAGCACATAAAACACTCAGAAATACAGCATCACAATCACATCATTATACACCATAGACACAAAGACAAACAAGCATACCAAATTTCAGGAAGGCAGCATTTGCAAAATAGGACGTCTAAATATGAGCACAACAAAAAGTGTCCAGCAGATGGCAGACAAGATTCTTCTTAAAAGGGCTGTAGTTTTGAAATGGACTTTATGTTTTGAGGAATGTCATTCCATGCTTTAGTATAAACATAGAAGACCTCTGGCCGTAACAGTTTTTAAAAGTTGGTAATATCAGTTGTCCTTTTGTAACAGATCTAGTTGAATGACCACTTCCAGAATTTTATTTGGGCAACAATGCACAGATAGTTCCATAATTGGCACCTTGGAAGATCTGAAAATATAAATTAATACCACTACCATGAAGACAGATATTTGAAACAGATGATGTCAGATTGGATCTAATTTTTGAATAAATGTATAATTTAACAGAGCTTCCATGTTTCACAACCTGACACCTATCAGTCAAATAAGAGGAAAACATTTGTATTGCAGATGATGAAAGTTGAAAAGAAATCAACTTTTGTAAGAGAGTATAATGATCAACTGTGTCAAACGCTTTACGAAAATCAATATTTACAGCACCAGTTATTTGACCTTTGTTCAAAGCAGCATGTATTTGTTCAGTGAATAAAATTAATGCAGACATTGTTGACCTTGACGTGCGGAAACCATGTTGGCTATTGCTTAGCATATTATTAGCTTCTAGATGCTGAAGTGGTTGATTAAATAATGTTTTTTCAAGTAAATTAGAAAAAATAGGAAGAACAGAAATTGGCCGATAGATTGAAACTTCTGTTGGATCACCAGATTTAAAAATGGGAGTAATCTGAGCAAACTTCCAGGCATCAGGGAAAATAGACTGCACAATATATAATTTAAGCAAATGATGAAACAATGTTAAAAAAGTGTTGGCATGCATTTTCAAGAAATCCATATTTATCTTATATTTGTCAAATGCTTGTGAGCCATTTCGAGATTGGAGTGTATTCAAAACATCACTCTGTGAAACTTCAGAAAATGAAAATTGCTTTGAAGTGTCAGGATATTTAAATAACTTTRAACTATTAGCTTGTCCCGGTAATGATGTCCTTACTGGAGAAATAAAATATTCATTAAATAAGTTAGCATTTTTTTCATGATCAGAAACAAGAAGTCCATTTGAGAAATGGTTTTGTTTGATATACTTTAAGAAGTGTTTGTTTGCTAAGAGTTTATTTCAAATAGTATAATTTACAGTGTCCTTTGGTTTTGGTGTTGTTTATTTATGTTATGATCTTACCCTTTTTGTAGTCTTATCTCCTTGCATGTTATCGGTTATTATCAGTTATCGGCCATTAGAAGGAGAAAGTTACTGGTTATCGGTATCAGTTCTTAAAATAAGTTATCGTGCATCCCTAATTATACGTATATAATTATTGTAACCGGATATAATTTAGGCGCATGTGGGTGATTTTTAACCATAATTTCTTTGTTTAGACATACATGTTTTAGAGCTGTTGCAACACAGACCAAAGTAATTTAACAATTTTTATAGCAAGAAGCCTAGTCAGACTGATTTATAAGAACTTTAGCTGCTCCTCTTCAGTCTCTGCCCTGATGGCTGCTGCACTATATTCACAGTGACTTGTCATCTTTGTTGTGGTGTGAAGCAGCTGCTAATTTGATCGAACTGTAAATCACTGCAAGAATCCGGTTATATAAAGCTCAAGACTCAAAATATTCCAGAAAGGCTTTGCTCTCTGATGTCCACTGAAATAAGCAAAAATCTAACCGTCTTACAGACACACAAAAAGACACGTAGGAAAACAGATGCTTGAATCATCCTATGACCCATCTGACCGAGCGGGTACCATAGTTTGAACCATTTGGTGTTTGTTGCATCGTGCAGCGGCGGTCAGGTGAGATGTTTGGAATCACTGAACTGGGGAAAACCAAAAGCCAACAATTAGGACCCCTCGTTTTCCACTCACTGCTTCCTCGTGTTCCTTCCAGCAGTCGTAGTCTGTTGCCATGGCGATGCTGGCATAGCACAAGCCAGCCTCTTTAGCTAGGACCACCTCTGGCACGGTGGTCATATTGATGACGTCAGCCCCCCACTGGCGGAACATCAAGCTCTCTGCTCGCGAGGAGAAGCGAGGTCCCTCGATGGACAGCATGGTCCCTCGTACGTGGCACTTGATCCCCAGACTGCGCGCCACCTCCACTAGAACCTGTTACAGAATATAAAGTTACTGAGGGCCATCCTTACCCTGGGAGCACAGAAAACAGTGTATGCTAACTGAATCTACATCGGATTTCTACACATTTTTATTGAAAATTGTTTGGGCAATATTGCTAAAAAAAATTTTAATCACAATTTATTGTGGTATTTAGCCAATACATGGTCATTCATGCATTTATTTCTTCTCGTTTGGACTATTGTAACAGCCTATTCTCTTGTTTAAACAGGAAGGAGTTAGACCGTCTTCAGGTTATCCAGAACTCGGCTGCAAGACTGTTAACTAACATAAACAAACGAGCTCACATCACACCTGTTTTGGCTTCTCTTCACTGGTTCCCAGTTCATTTTAGAGTTAATTTTAAAATTCTGGTTTTAACTTTTAGAGCCGATGTTGTTGGTGGTACCCCGCACACATTTTAAATCCAGAGGGGATTGGTCTTTCCAAGCAGTTGCACCTCGGCTCTGGAATGCACTGTCCCAACTTATACGCAGCCTTGATTCTATTGATGCTTTTAAAAAACATCTGAAAACTTTCTTTTACAAACAGGCTTTTAGCTAAGTTTTGTTTTGTTTGTTTTTTACTGCTTGTATTCTTGTATGAATTGTAATGCTGTGGTGATGTTTTCATTTACTAATTCACTTTATTGTTTTTATTTTGTTTCAGTGTTTTGTGTTCAGTGTTTTTAATTTTAAATTTTTAACTTTTTTTATTTTATAATCTTTTAATTTGTCTATGTGTGCATGCTGAGGATGTGAGCTCTTGCTACTGTTTTTCCAATGTAGTTTTTCCACTGCAAATGGCAAATAAACTTGAACTTGAACTTGTGAAGCGCTTTGTGGTTTTATATCCAAGAAAGGTGCTATATAAATAAACCTTACTTACATACAACAATTAATATGACAATTAATCCCCTGAAGCCCCTGCATGCCCCAGTCACATGACCAATTAAAATAAATTCCCTCTAGTGGGAAAGATTTGCTCTTCGTAAAAATCTGTTCCAAACTGTGTCAGAAGCACAGACTTAAGGCTATCCATCGTGTAAATTGTGTTGATAGACCAACTTTAAAAAAAAGGTTACCATATTTGAAGCAGAGAGGAGCATCGAGCGGACTGACCGGGGAAATCTCCAGTCAGTCTGCCCGGCTGTATTAATCCTCAAGTGCCAAAAACTTATCAATTAAAGTTTTTCTGACAATTAACTGCACACACGATACGATTTTGCCAAACGCTAAAAATTAAACACACAAATTTTGAAATGTACAGTATGTACTGCAGTCAAGCTTTATCATGCCTGCCATTAGTAATTAACTAACTGTTCATAAAAAAGAACAAACAGGAAATAACATTAAATTTTCAACTTTTCTGAGTTAGTTTGTGAATCTAAAAAACAGCGTCTGAGAGTCCTTGACACCAAAATTATGACAAATCTTTAGATTTACTGTCAAATAAAAAAAAAACATAGTGGAAGAACTGAAAAACCATGTGGGAGCACTCGGCCAAATACCAGAGATGAGGTTTGGTTCTCACCAAAGATAACATGACTTTCGAAAGCATTTCTCCTTTCATTTTCAAAGGGTTGCATGCCCAAAAAAACTAAACATGTAACTAATATCTACACTGAAATTTGGAACAGCGGGTGAGAAACCTGCGCTGGAACGCAGTCTTTTTATGCAAGAGATGATGAGTAAAGCAAACGGTTTAAGTAATGTAGTTAACAACAAACTTTATTTTGAGGGGAAAACAAGAAAAATAACACATTTACTCATCTGGCTGCGATTTCTCCAAAGCGACCTGTCATCTCTCAGCACAATAGCGCTGCAACAACGAATCGATAAAATCGATAAAAATTGATTATTAAAAGCGTTGGCAATGAATTTCATTATCGATTCGTTGTGTACCATGATTTATACGTTTCTCGCCATGTCGCGGAGCCGTTTACGTCACCCGCAGAGCGTTGTCAATGCTGGCTGACCTAAATAAAGTTTAGGAAGAAGAAAAACTATCTGTAAAGATCCGCCCCCTCTGACTCTCAGTGAAAAGTTGAAACTCTCAGTTGAGACTCTCTGTGAAAAGTTGAGACTTGGAACTTTAAACCAGTTTTTAAATTGTGTTGTTAGGCCAAGTACATCCGAAGTTATGATAAAAAGTATCTACCACATTTAATTTTTTAAAAAGACGGTCTGATTTGATGCGAGCTGCGTCACAGAGAGGAAGTACGTCCCGTGGCGAAAAAAAGTACCTCAGTCCACCATTAGTTTCCTCCTTTCGGGCCAGATATATAAAAACCCTTCAGTCTTTCTTTATGACCGAGGCTCAAAGTTATTCGATAAGCAGCAAAAAGTTTCAGGACGACGAAAAAAAAAAAGACGCAGCAGAACTCCTGGTCTGACTCAGTAGGGGAGGAGGGAGGGATGTGGGGCTGCTTCAGAACCTCACTGGGTCATTCAGTCAGACAGAACCAGAAGGAAGCAAAACATAAATATTAGAGAAAATTCATAAATTCTAAATGCAAATAAATTCTAATTATAATAATAAAATAATAACAGTTTTACATCTAAAAATTTTAATCTAATCATGTTGTATTCTTTTTATCTGTTTTCCTCATTCAGCAGCCTATCAAATTTCTGTTTTGTTATGTTTTATAGCTATAACCAAGTTTATTAATGTATGAGAAAATGTTTTGCGGTCAGTTTTTCATACAGCTGGCAAAATCACTTGTGAAAATATTTATGATGTGTTTCTTTTCTAATTCAGCATATTATTTTTTTAAAAATCCTTCATTTTATGAAAAGACTCTCTTGATTCAATAGAAAACTCTGGTTTTTAAGAAAATGGCTGCTTATCAATTAATTGTTAGTCAATCTATAAGATAAATCAACTTCAGATTATTTTAATAATCGAGAACTTGCATCCCTAATTTATACAGGAATTAAAATAATTTATATCTACACATATTTATGTAATTAAATGTTTTAATGATTTGGCCGATTAATCAATTAATCGAAAAAATAATCGACAGATTAATCGATTATTAAAATAATCGTTAGTTGCAGCCCTACAGCGCAACAACAAACTCTAGCTGCTTTTGGACAGGAAAAAAAAAAACTCCGCACAATTATTTGTGTACCCTGACAGCAAATGTTAACTACTCTGGGCCAAATAGGTGATTTGGCTCGGACCTGTAAAAGGACCATGGGGTCGTTTTTGCTTTGTTTCTCCACAACCCGTCAGCATGAATCAAGAGAGCGGATGGTGGCGCACAGGTTTGGGACAGATGTGGCACAAATACAAAATTCTTATTTTATCTTTAGGCTGCTTTGGTTGACCCGAATTGGATCAAAGCCAAAATATTTTTAGCAGGTTCATCAGCCCGACCCAGAGCTGGCACGTTAACTATATTCTCCGTACAGGTTGTGCGCACCGCGCCCCATTTAAATACTTTATTAATATAATCAAGAGTTTGTTCTCATTTTTACATCATTATACAAGTTATGAACTGTACTGCCTTCTGGAGAATACTACACCAACATAAGCATCAAGTAGATAAACTCCAGCTTGTGAGCGTGCGCGCACCGTCAGCTGAGCGCTGCGCAACAAAACCAAACTGTAAGCAGATTTAATAACAGATCTTAATGCTGTCAGTTTTGTCTGTGCCTCTGTCTGTATCTAGACAGAGACAGAGAGACATCAGTCATAACTTGTCAGCCTTGGGTGCAGCCTGTAAATGTCCGATCAGCTGATGGGTAGGGCCGTAAAGTGTGTGGGGGGGGGCACAATGGCCCTCTGGCCCCCCTATTCCGGCGCCATTGGTTGCACCAAGTTAGATAGGAGGAAGACAACACTGAATACCCAGATCACAAATATCCTATATCTAACCAAAACCTAACATCACAGCGGTGAAACGCCAACTTCCCAGTACAACAGGACTGCAGCCCAGACTGTAGCAAAAGTAGCCGTCAAAAATATGACTAAATGGAGATTTTACACAGCGAATTTCACCGGCTGCCAAGAACCCTATGAAGTAGACAAGTAGATCTCAGCTAATTGGCAACTTCAAAAATAGATCTTGGTTCAAAAAAGGCTGTGTGCCCCTGTAGTAGACAATATGTATGTTAGACTAAGGTTTAGCCTAAGCGTTCTTCTCCAGGTTTGTGGTATATTTTTGGGAGTGGCTTCCAGATCCAGCTGCTGTGTTGGAAGGAGCAGTCATGTGGGTTACAGAATGTTACAGAGCTGCACGGTGGCCAAACTAGTCTGACTGTATGCAGCTGGTTTGGTTACAATACATTACTTACAAATGTTAAACTTAATTTTTGAACAAACCTCTCTGGTCCTGTTGCAGAAAGGCTCAGCCATGGGGATATGACAAACACCCGGTGGGCTTGTGGGCTGACCGTCATACAGCGTCTCAGCTCTCTTGGTGGTCCTGGTAGAGACAAGTAAACGGAATGAGCTGAAAGTTACATTCAGAATAAATTACAGATGTTACCATTCAAAATGTTACTTATTATTTAAAAACATATATTTTTAAAAGTTAAAAAGAAAAATAAATATCAATGTAAACATAATCAAATTAAATCCAAAAAAACAAGAAAAAGGATTTTAAATTGTGAGGATGAACATAAAAGAAATCAACAAAAAACTAAGAGAGGTTGTAGAAATAATACAGTTAGCATCATAAACCAATTGAAAAACGAGTCCCTTCACGGCTTTTTGGGACAATCCTCAGGTTTCACCTCAACAGCTGCTCTCCTGTGTGCAGATGTACTGAGTCGGGTGTTTACGAGACACAGAACCAGCCTGTATTCACCCAGCTCAAAATGCAGTCACTGGCAAACAAACGAACTATTCATGTATCCCAGTGAGGCGAGAACATCAATGTTTCCCTGTAACACTCCAGCTTTTTAATTTGGTTCTGATTCCCATTAGTTTGGTTCGATGAAGGTACATAAACAATGAGATGCTTGTCGTAAAATATAAAAAGCACGAAAACGCAATCCATATTTTAGACTTGTATGTGTTTTATTTATACAGTTTGATAGATTTTAACAGTGTGAAATGTTCTGAAAGGGTAAGGGTGTCCAAACTTTTTTTTTTTACTGTAGATCCAAACACACTGTGGGAATAAAAAAAGATTTTCAGTGGAACAGACTAAAGGCTTAACGTCTGTTTACTTTTAGTTTCTCAGCGATAATTTAGTCATAACATAATTATCTCAGACATCCAAAATATGAACCCTGCCCTGTCGCTTGCTCATCACCTAGGAAAGTAAAACCAGTATTTACTCTCTGTAAGCTCTGCTGTGCCAGAAGTCAGGAGATAAGCCAAGGGAGATGAACAATGCTTGATTATGCCAGACAAATTGAGTTACCCATGGCCTTGCATTTCAACAGCAATAACATTTGAGTCCTTGTCGAAAACGTCTCATACACCCTACTTTCATCAAATATTCAAATTATTTCAAAAATTAAAAAACAATATGCTGTGACAGCCATGTAATGTAGCATAAAGTAGCTTTTCTAATCTGCATTTAAAATGTATTGATAATATTATAATTTTTCTAAAATTAAAAACCAAAAGTTGAGTATCAGCCATTTGATCTTTTACTTATCTAAAACCATTTCATCTAATAAAATGATTAGCTGTAATAAAACTTAAGATGAACGATGAGGAGAGTATTTTGCGCACAACAAAATCCTGCGCTGTGAAGAGAAGAAACGATGCTTGCTGCTAGAAGCGAGCTGTGACACACTTAGGGACAAGTCGGAGCACATCCCCACGAGCAACTTCCCCGTTTTAGCTAAATAAGTCACGATACTTACAGTTCATCTGCTTCCCAAACACAAGACAAACAGGATGTGAAATGTAGGAAAACAGGTTACTACAGACATCAGATCAAGTAGCTGTGTGTGTGAACTCGCGGGTTTACAAGCGTTCCTATTAAAACAGCGCAGCAGACATGGAACTGGGCTCTCAGTGCCGCTGTTACTCAAACCCGCAGGATCAGCATCTGTCTCTGCGAAACAAGAAGTATCCTTCTTTTGCCTTGAGGTCAGAAACAGCTGAGAAATCATTCTTTCCCACAACACAAAGATACGATTATGTTATACTAGACAGAGTGTTTGCAGCAGAATCACAGACAGTAATTTAAACAACGGAGACAAAATAACTAGAGTGAATAAGAGCAGGGTTCATAAGAAATAAATGAATGGGTGAGAATTTTAAACCATAAGACAATAAGGTGATACTTTACACAGAATAAAACATGTTTCTATTAATTCTGTGTGGACTTCCTCCCTCCTTATAAATTACAGAAGTTTAAGGTTTTAGTTTGCGCCTGTGTCTTGCTGATGAGCTGACAGCAATGACTGAGCTCAGCTGCCCAATATATACTTTCTGAGCTTTCTTTATTTATTCGAATAAACACTACCTCTTTATTTCTTTTTGAGCCAGTCAATGTTTATATAATGACAACATCCTTGTCTACTTGTTCTATCTTCCTCCTCTGCTTTGCTTTTTTTTTTCTTCAGTCGAGCCAAAAACAGAAGAATCCTCCCTTATCAGTTTGTAGAAGCAAACAAACAACAAAAAAAACCTTTAAAGATAAGTTTAATGGCTGCTTAGAGTCAGTAAAAAATGCGGTTTAGCTTTTGTTAGAACTATGTTTTTCCCACCCCGTTCCTACAAAGTTTTGAGTTTTCACCTTTAAAAAACTGAACACTGTAATTTTCCTAATCCTACAGGACTGATGTGACAAACTGACTAAAAGTGTCAAAGTTACGACTAAACCAAAGTGTGCCCAAACACTCAGCTTGGTGGTAAATAAAACTTTTAAGCTGAGGAAATCGAATCCACTGAAGACAGAAGTTCTCATGAAGCAGGAAAAGTGACTCCCGTAATGAAATAAGACACAGGAAAAAAGTTATTTTGTCTTCCTACTTGTGTTGTCACTGATGGTATGCGTTTCATTTTCTAGTTTTCACCTGAGCTCTAAGCAAACTCTGACACCTGAGAGACGCACAAAACATCCAACAGACATTACAACTACTTCCCCCAACTAAACAAACAGGACAATAAGCAGTCATTGATTGGACACAATGTCCAATGACAAAAACCGGCATTCAAATGTGTCATACTTGTTTTAAATGACCACTACACAGTGGTGGGCAGAGTGCCCTTAAAGCACTAATAGGGGAACTAATTTCCTGATTAGTGCTTTAGAGCTTTTGCTAATTTTAAAATTTATTAGTGGATTAGCACTTGCTAAATTTATAGGCAAAATTTAGAAGCACTGAGGTCTATAAATGTTATTGATCAACATTAATGTTAACAGCTGAGGGTGGAAGCTGTCGCACAATTTAATCGTGTGTGTCACTTATCTGCTAAGTAACACACATATGAACTCAAATACGGCTGTGGAATGTCAATGACACGTCTTGAGAGAGCAACATGTGACTCTTGTTGTCTGTTGAAGAATGTTCATGGGTTGACTGGGTTATTTAGTGCTTTAGAATTAGCTTTTGCTAAAAATTTTCAGTGCATTAGTGCTTTAGATTTAGGGGACCTAAATATTTGAGTTGGTGTTTTAGGGCTAGTGGAACTAATTTTTAGATTAGTGCTGCCCACCACTGCAACTTTATATAGCACAAGCTATAAAATGGCATAGGGTTGGGCACTATCGACATAAAAATTTGTCTAGATTAATTGTGGTATTTAGTTGATAACGATTATCAATTGCACAAGTTCTTCCTCCTACTTGGCTGTCTGACACTAAACCTTTTATGATGCTTGAGATAAAGTGTTGTACATTGCACAACAAAACACCAACCTGTACACAGTCTTTAACATTGTTAAATCAGAGGTGGGTGGTTAATTTTTCCAAAGAGCCAACTAAGGAGCTGGGATTATTGAGGGTTGGCTCAACAAGCTAAGCTCAAACCTTTCTAAAAAGCTATAAACACAGTAGCTGCTAAGAATATGTGCATATTCTTGCACTTAACAAAATGAAATATCTTTTTTTTTTGCAGCATTTTATCATCAGAGAAAGAAATCTAGTTTAGTCATTTTGCAGCATTGGGACAGCTGACAGGTGACAAGATCTTTATTTACATTTGCATGCGTTCTAATGTGGGATGTTCTCCACTCCTCGTTTCCTTGTTCTAAAGGTACATTAATGCAGGAGTCCTCCAAACACCCTTTGATGAACTCCCCACCAGACAGCAGCTTACCGTTTCATAGCTATTTAGTGAGAAAGCACAAAGCTCGATATGACTGCTTCTTCTCTGTAAATCTTTTGTGAGACAGTCTTGATGCTTTTGCTGTTTGGGTTGTAAAGCTCCTGATGTGTGTGTCCACTTTGCATTTCTATGTGGAGTCTGATGTCACTTATAAAGATCAACCTGGATTATATTTGATTTCTGATGTTCCTTTAACCTCGTGGTTGATGGAAAATGGGGGCGGGCCGGATGTGGCCCGCAGGCCGGGAAATGCCCAGGTCTGAGTCAGATGATTTGAAGCGGTAAAAAAAACAAAAAGTGAGACAAAATTTCAAGCCATGTTATTGGGGTTTATCTCTGAAAACAGCAACACAACAGTTGTATTCACATAAAGGCATTATTTACTCAATACATTAACAAAAGCTGAGTTTTATAAAGGGTAAACAATATTTTTTTCCTGTCTGCTGGGATGTCTGCTGCATGTCAAAGTTCAGAGTTGAAGAATGTGAAAAATTAGAGTAAAGGTACGCCATATTTGACATTAATGGCATTTAAAATATAAAATAACACTTTTAGTCAAGAAAAAAAGAAGAAGAAGTAAATTAAATTAAACGTTAGCGTTGCACTCACCTGTCAATAAACTGGTCTATGATGACAATGTCTCCTGGCTGAATCTCTTCCCGGAGTGAGCCGCAGGCCGTGGTGGCCAACAGATGTGTACAGCCTTCTTCTCTGAGAGCCCAGATGTTGGCCTGGTAGTTCACATTTGATGGCATGATGGTGTGCTGTCTCCCATGTCTATATTTGACAAAAACACTGGTTAAATTTTAAGGCGAGCACAAAAAGAAAAATGCTTTTACAGCCACTGTAGCTTAAAATTGTGAGACATTTCCACTAGAGGGCGCCAGTGGAGAAGACTTTTTTTAAAGAATCTGCCAAAGAAAATATGGCCTCACCTTGCAAGGAGCACACAGTCCACATTTTTTATCTTCCCCAGTATCAGGGCATCTGATGGCTGTTCAACAAAAACAGAATAATTTATCAAAATATTACAAATACTATCTTATTTCACTCTCCACAATGCTTTATGCTGTTAACCTAATGTTCACACAAATAGGCTGAATGCTTTAATAAATAAAATAATAATAAAATAAAATGAGCTTAAGGTGAACAAAGCTGTAGCAGAGTTATGTCTGACTTTGTGCGAGACAGCACAAAATCCTATTTTTTTCCACACTTTTCCCACAAATTGAGATGATATTTTGTTGGGCTTTTTAAAGTCATCACTGAATGAAAGACCTTTTTATGGATGTGGTTCATTTACAAGCAGACTGGCGTTGCCACACAGTAATAAAATTTGTAATACGAGACAAGGCCGTAGGTATCCCAAATTAAACTTTTAACTACTTTCATTGCAATTATTAAAAGGTTTATTTGTCAGAGAATCAATAAATGAAATCCAACGCACTTAAGATTTTCGAAATCGGGCAAGAACTTTTCATTTGGTAGTCACTTTAGTCTCGTGACGAGTTGTGCCTCATTTTGACAGTCACATCATCATATGTCAGTAAGTAAAAAAATCAATATGCTTACTGACATTCAATAGTATAAGGTGCCCAATTTATTTCAGATATTTCAGTCACTTTGATTCTGAGAAACTGGCCATCAAAAAAGCAAAAATGGTTAAAAAAAAAAAGACAGTCCTAAAAAGTGCTTTTGATGTAACACTTTGAAACTTTGCATTTGGTAAAAAGTAGCCCCATTAATTTGACATTTAATGAGCAAAAAAGAATTCCTATAATAGAAAAAAAATGACAAGTCAGTATTTGTGGAGCATTTTGCCATTTTTTTCAAAAATATGCAAATTTCCTCTCTAGTCAGTGTACTTTTACAGGGTGCAAAATAAATGTCAGTGAATTATGATCTGACCACTCAGAATGAACACTGGATGCAAAATAAATACAAAAATAATGTAATAAAATATCTTTATAGCTCCTGCAGAACTATTTTGAGATACCATTCATGTAAGCATCAGAGAATTGAACAGCAGGCAGTCTGAAAGGCAGCCCGTGTTCTTAAAGTTATCACTACTGTTTTACAAGTAATGATAAACTGCTGTAATTTTTGATATTTATAATATTAATTATTTTAGAACAGCCACTTGAGTGTATATTTGTATTTTGGGCAGGTTATCAAAATTAAGGTAAAATCTACACAACAGGGTGGGTCAATCTGACGCAGAGCTGCTCCTCTGGTTAACTTGGCAAATAAAAATAATACATTCAGACTCTTTTTACGGTCAAATTATGATCCACTGTCAACTCTAATGACCAGTATTACATACTAAATAATTTTTTGAGGTCAGTTTCTATGAAAAATCATGAGGGAACACTTTCATTTACCAGATTTTCTCCCCCTCGGACTCACAGGACACAGACCAGATGTAGCTGCAAAAAACTAACTTTCAGGTAATTGTTTCTCCTGGATAAATCTTTACTTAAAATATGTTTTAACTAATACAAGAATGATTTTTGTGTGGAAAGTGGATTCATTACCATGTTTAGCAAGTAATCCATGCAGAGAAGTGTCCTGAACTGGACACCTGCTTCGACCGGTTCTGGAGTTAGCTTAATAAAATGTCATGCCGAGTCACTGGCTGTTTTCTGATTTACATATTAAAGTAATTCAAAACGTTAAAACTTTATTTATGTCTTTACAGAATAGAGATAGATAGTTTTTTTAATAGGCTCAATCTAAATCTGTTGAACTATTGTGTGTAGGGGTGGGAATCTTTTACTATCTCATAATTTGATTGGATCTGATTCTGATTTTTGGGGCCACGATTCGATTCAAAATTGATTTCTCGTTCAAAACTGATAATGTGAGTCAATTTGTCGTGTTCCTGAAGTGCTTCATCTTCATTTTTCAAACCTTGCACAAAGTGAAGCTCATGACAAATTGACTCATTCAGTACAAACCAAAATGTGTCCAAATCTTTGCATTCATTGAAGGGTAGTTACAAAATGGAGGCTGACACCCATTGGATTTGCTTTATTTATTTTTTTTAAATATCGATTTTGGGATATTTTAAATTGATTCTGAATCTTTGTAAATGAGAATCACGATTCTGATGTAAATCGATTTTTTGGTGCACCCCTACTACTGCGGGTTTCCTAAGACTGCACTACTTTTCTGCCAGAATCTGACAGGCCTTTGGGGATACCTTCTGCTAGCAAGAGACGAGACAAGAGGCTGCCTCAGAGATGAAGAACTCACCTTCCCATATGGTGTCTCAACATATCGCTCCATTCTTCCCTCCAAGATATCCGGATCGTCGAGACCAGAACCGCCAATAATTCCAATCTAGGACGAAATTCAAGCAAAATTTTAAAAAGTTGTTTGACTTATAATCTAAGCAAAAGCTTCTGCAAGGTTTAATGATTAAGTAAAAGACTTTTGCCAAAGCACTTATTGTGTTTTAAAATACCCTGAAGGGATTAATAAATAGGGGATCAATTGAATTTATGGTCATTTTTCAAGACTGCAGCTTGCAGTGCTGCTACAGCGATTTCTTTGTCCTCCATATGTTTTGTGTTGACCAGGTAATGATGCCTTCACAGAGAAACAAACATTCAAACATAGCTGGACAATTTATAATAAAAACATAAACTAGCGTAGAAAGAGACCAGAACAAGAGAAGGTTGCCATTAAATTAAAGCCTCACAGTCTCAGTTTGGATTTGACACACACACACTGATAGTATGTAGATGCCATTAGCTACATGGCACCCCAAAAGTATTTACTTTATTATTTTTGTTTTATTACAGGTCTACACACAGAGAGAGAGAGAGAGAGAGAGAGAGAGAGAGAGAGAGAGAGAGAGAGAGAGAG